AAGTGTCGCCTGAATCCACATGCTGACCAGAATATCGTGTGTCAGTGTGACGATCAGGCTCAGTTTGACGTTCTCCTCGTTGATCACGATGTTGAGCGGATGAAGTGTCGCCTGAATCCACATGCTGTCTAGAATTTTGTGTGTCAGTGTGACGATCACGATCAGTCTGACGTTCTCCTCGTTGATCACGATGTTGAGTGGATGAAGTATCGCCGGAATCCACATGCTGACCCGAATTTCGTGTGTCAGTGTGACGATCACGATCAGTCTGACGTTCTCCTCGTTGATCACGATGTTGAGTGGATGAAGTGTCCGGTATATCGGTATGCTGTCTAGAATTTGGTGTGTCAGTGTGACGTTCTCCTCGTTGATCACGATGTTGAGCGGATGAAGTGTCGCCTGAATCCACATGCTGACCAGAATATCGTGTGTCAGTGTGACGATCACGATCAGTTTCACGTTCTCCTCGTTGATCACGATGTTGAGCGGATGAAGTATCGTCGGAATCCACATGCTGACCCGAATTTCGTGTGTCAGTGTGAAGATCACGATCAGTTTGACGTTCTCCTCGTTGATCACGATGTTGAGTGGATGAAGTATCGTCGGAATCCACATTGTGACGAGAATATCGTATGTCAGTGTGACGATCAGGCTCAGTTTGACGTTCTCCTCGTTGATCACGATGTTGAGTGGATGAAGTGTCGCCTGAATCCACATGCTGACCAGAATATCGTATGTCAGTGTGACGATCACGATCAGTTTCACGTTCTCCTCGTTGATCACGATGTTGAGCGGATGAAGTATCGTCGGAATCCACATGCTGACCCGAATTTCGTGTGTCAGTGTGAAGATCACGATCAGTTTGACGTTCTCCTCGTTGATCACGATGTTGAGTGGATGAAGTATCGTCGGAATCCACATTGTGACGAGAATATCGTATGTCAGTGTGACGATCAGGCTCAGTTTGACGTTCTCCTCGTTGATCACGATGTTGAGTGGATGAAGTGTCGCCTGAATCCACATGCTGACCAGAATATCGTGTGTCAGTGTGACGATCACGATCAGTCTGACGTTCTCCTCGTTGATCACGATGTTGAGTGGATGAAGGGTTGCTTGAATCCGAGTCTTGATTCACATCTATAGATTGATTATTCGAAGGTTGATTGAAACGACTGATATCTGCATCCGGCTCTGCCTGAACCGGATCGTTGTCATTTCGATGGGTTGGAACAGTTCTGGACATCGGCACAAATCTGTCGGCCATGGAAAGAGGATCGATTTAATCTGAAAGCTAGATCGGTGTGAATTTTCAGCTCAGGTCTATATTTTTCTCTTGTCTTTCGAATGTGGCTGTGCTGAATTTTGTTTCTCTTAGATTTTTGTCACAACAGCGAGCATACCACGTGGAAGAAGGTTTTCTTAAAAGCGCATGAGAGGAAAGATTGAGAAAAAAAAGAAGGTTATTAAAATATATAGAAGCACTTAGTTTGATGGAGAGGGAAAAAAAGTGAATGAAGAACTGATCGACTTTCTTGTTCTATGGTTTGAAAGATTCTTGTTTCTTGCCATTTTAGACAAGAATTTTTTATTTGTCTTGATGGATGAGACAATTTTTTATTCTCGATCGTTTTTCGTGAAAGTTTCTTGTCTTAAAAGGCTATAGTCGTTGATGATAAAATCACCAATTTTGTTTTGTCGATTCCCGTGCTAGATATATAAGTTATTTAATGTAACTCAATACTATACATAGATGTCTGTAAAAATCTTTTAAACATCACAAGATTCTTATGTGGAGACGATCGAGTCTTATGTGTGCCTGTATTGGTGCCAGTGCCGGTAGCTCCCCCATATGTATGAAAAGAAAAGAAGATGAAAGAAGGTTATATATGCATTTTTTTGTTCGCAAGATTCTTTTTAGAATGACAAGACAAAATTCTTGAAAGAAATTTATGATAAAATTCTTGGTTGAAATCATAAAACAGAAATTTCAGCCAAGAATGTTGAGATAAAAGTATATGTAAACTATGCAGCAAGATTCTTGGCTGAAACGACAAGTGACAAGAATCTTGCAAGAAATAGAACAAGAATGTCGAGCGGCGCGATAACTATAGAGAAAGGAAGAAATGAAAAATATAAGTAAACAGAGGAAATGTGTTTCGAATGAAAAGTAATAAAAGCAGCATAAACAACTCTGCTGAAGAAAAGCACACTAAAATATATTTTGTTCTGTTTTCAAACATATTTATTTATAAAGGTGATAGCTAATGAACATATAAAGGAAACTATGAATATGTAGGCAAGTCGGGCAAGTCCAGTGTGTGCCGGATTTCTTGCATAGAAAAGAAAAATAAATTAATAAAAAAAGGAAAAATAACGTAAGAATAAGTAGATGACAGTAGTGCTGAAAAATATGCGGAGAGTACCAATTAACTGACAGGAAGGAAAGTAAGAGAGAGATATGAATTGCATTTTACATATATGCAAATAAAACATCAGAGCTGATCAAGCCGCTCTATCGCAAGTTGGCACAAGCTCTAGTAGATATGGAGACGTTTTACCATGCGTAATTTTATGGAAGAGACACAACCTTCTCACATAGACTAACTGAGTTACTGACAATCAACTTAAGTCTTGCAAAATTTTCTGTTGTGATTCTGTAGCACTGCTAGCGCTGCCTGATACTGTATGAGGGATAGCATATTCAGGTTACGCTCATCAGTATCCACATAAAAACGAAAGGTTTCTTTTGTTTTTTTTCCAAATCGTGCTCATTCGATTCTCCATATAAAAATGCGAAGGCGCTTAAGTTTTTAAATCTTGGAAACGTTTCATCAAGAAAATACGAATTTTTTAGGCGAGCCGTATCACAAAAATATCGCAAAAAATAGAAAAAATGACTGTCATGTATTTCGTTTTCTTTTTCTCCGCGCTTTGGTTTAAATTTCTGAAGTACATATGAATCAGCAGAGAGAGAAAACTGCACAAAATATGCTCGTTTTGGCAAATTAAAACTAAAGTGTACTATATAAACAATTAAAAAATCCAACTGTATGATCAATTTTGTTGGACAAAGAAAGTTGTCCATTTCACTCTTCCTGGTATATCACATAAGTACTTCTATTTTAATCGAATAAACTACGATAAATTTGCCACATTTTAGCGAAACTCCGAACTTTAGGGGTGGTTTTGTTTTGGAGAAATATTAAGCATAAGTTTATAGGAGGGCACGGCAAAAAACAAAGTCTAAAAGCTGATGCATTTTAGTGGACAGTCGAACGCACACGTAACGCTCTGTACACAACGTGCACATGACGTACGCGTAGGTCATTCGTATTTATTGTACAAAATGCATATCATACGTACAATGCGCACTATGTACCACTTTTAGAGGTTTATCATAGATGTCAGATAAACATGTTACTATGGAACTGTAGAGAGAGAAAATCAGGTTACGCACGGTATGCGCACCGTGTATATACGTTCGTCATACCAATCGAAACGTACGTCACGCGTACGTCGCGTACAAAGAGTGACGTGCGCGTACAACGGGCGTAGCGCTCTACCTGGGTTAACGTTTCTATTTGGATGAATTTTTGTGGACTTCCTGTTGTCAACCTCAGATTATTGGTTACGATGGCCATATACGGCGACTTACAACTGTGTACTGTAACGTAACACGCCGTAATTTGACGTAATTTGGTCGCAAACCCTATGCTTCATAATACTGCAGCCGTAAACAACCTTTTACGAGATCGTTTACGACCGTAATAAGCTGATTAACTGAGCAATCCATGGGCAAAAATTCAGAATGATTCTTACAGATTACGTTATTGGCTCGAAGAAATCCAAAAACATGCATATATACCACTCTCTCAAACACCTTTGATAATGCCGGTAATAATGTAATTGATCGATAATTAGAACATACCTGGGGATCATCAGCCTTAAACAAAGGTAAAACTTGTCTGAATTTCGAGCAGTCAGGAAATACTTTGTTAATTAATGATTCAGATGGCTAGTGACGCCTCACGAAGCGTCCGGTTCGAAATACCAAGTGACGTGGCTTTGCAAACATCCAAATTTAGAAGAATTTCTTAGACTTGCGGTATATGGACAACAAAATTTGACATGGTGATAGAAGATGCTGGGGCAAGATGAGAAGCCGAAGGAACGAATGTGTAGTCGATCGTACATATTTTAGAGAAATATCGATTCAGAATTTGTGCGCGGTCTAAAGCAGACGAGGCAATCTTACACTCGAGCAGGAGAGGAATATTTAGCTGTTTTGTTTTCTAAGTGGAAATTTCATGAGATTCCGCCATTTCGTGCATGAGGTTTTAGTAGACGAGAGTTGGTCATAGTGTTTCTCTTTTGCTTTATCGCATTCTCTTTGGAATACTTTCGCACTCACGTCATATACATGAAGACCTGTTAACGTTCTTGATTTTGAGTATTGTGTACACCTTTTTTGCTTCAATCGTACGAGATCTCTCAATTCGTCAGTGAACCACGGCTGATCACGAGACGAAATAATGATCCACTTATTTAGCAACGTGTTACTGGCAGCTTCTAGAAATTTATCCTGAAAAGCTACAACGTTTCCATGCAAAGTGTCATGATTCAGAAGTGAGTGCTAATTCGTCATCGAAAGCGAGTATCTAAGCAAATCCTTTGCAAATCTTGCTTGCTTTTATAATCATAAATTCTCTTTTTATATGAAAAGGATGCTGGACAGACATTTTTTTCTTAACGCTTTCACACCGAAAAGTTGACGGTTCCTATTTTCCGTTAACAAAAAACTGTTTTCCTTGTTTTGTTAACGGTTACGCAAATGTGAACGGTATTTTTAGTAAAAGGAAAATAAGTCTAGAAATATACTGAAATGTTAACGGTCCGTTCACATCACGTCGTACCGCACAAAAAAAAAGACATTTGCTGAATATTCTTCCCGATTATATTCAGCACGACTTGTGACAATACCGATGATGTGTACATGCAAAATGAATTTAAAAGAATATGTATGTAAACATTCCGTCGGTCTGCTGATGTTCTACGACTTTTACACAATTGCCGATCCAGTAAAATTACAAGAGATTGGCAAACGACGAGGTTGCCCAAAAAAGCCAAAACCAGCTTTATCTCAAGATTAACCTTTTGTTCTATTTCATGCATCTATAAGTTTTGACTTTTTGAGTAAAAACGTGCCATTTGACCAACCTTGTTGTGAAAGTCCTGTATTTGTCATAATTTCTTGCTCACTCAGTTAATTACCGTTAACATTTCAGTATATTTCTAGACTTATTTTCCTTTTACTAAAAACCCGTTCACATTTCCGTAGCCGTTAACAAAACAGTGAAATCATTTTTTTATTAACGGAAAAAAAATCCGTTAACTTTTCGGATAAAAACCGTGCACAAATAAATATTTATTCAAGGATGCTTGCCTTAAGTTAAAAACAGTAAACTCCACCATACAATGATCATAACTGTCTGCCAAAGGAGATAAAACGTTTATATTTTTAATTGCGAGAGGGTTGTTCGTGAATATAAGAACCAAATAGATATCTGACTTTGGTCTAGTTACTTTTGTCACAATCTCTATAAGATCCACATATAGAGCAAAATCAAACAGACAGTAACCGTCCGAAGATGACGGTTTTATCGAACACCATTGGGCAGTCTAAGAAAACGTCTCGAGTGTTAAAGAGTTTTCTGGTAATTTCAGAAGTAGAAACGGATTCTTTTCGCATTTCAACTCAAACGATACTGTGAAGCAGCTAAAATAGAATATATTCTGAAGTTCTAAAGTTCTAGACGAATTAATGGGCAAACATTTCAAACAAATTTTGAGAATTATAGCAACTGAATAAAATGAAAGCATTTTTTATTTTTTATTTTTATTCACAATATTTCGACCTTAATCAGTCATTATCAAGTGAAAAATAAAACTGTGAAAAATAAATTTATTTAAAAGACACAAGAAAACTCAGATATGATTATCCGTGTTTGTTTTCGAGTTCCATTTCATTAATCACCGATTGAAATTAGTAAATATAGGACAAAATATTGTACATGGAGAATAATTGAACGAATACGAAAATATTATTTTTCGTTCGCTGACTGATATTTAATTTTTTATTTTATTCTTATCCAGATAGTGGTGGTCCCGTAATATTTAACGGCAAAGTTGATTTCTTTACACCGTCCGAAAATACATATAATGGGATGAATCGGTCTGTACCATTCAGAACAGGTTTTATACCTCTAACTACTCAACAGCGACAAATAACTTAAGCTTACATTTTCCTGTGGTCTCAAAGTTTCTATCAACGGGTGAACAATACTTAATGAATAGCCCATATTTTCTCCTCCCTCTTAACATTTTCGGATTTTGTCTACGACAGTCATACAATCATATAACATAAAACCTGAACTTTCTGCTCTTTTCACGGTTCACAAAAATTCTCCGTTCCAGTAGAAACCAACATGTATGCGCTAAAGAACGGAATTTCATTTCTCACACACAATTTTTCGCTGATAATCTCCGGCATATCAGCTCACACTAAGTACATATTGAAGCGTGCTTTTCTTCAGCAGAGTTGTTTATGATGCTTTTATTAAGTTTTATTTGAAACACATTTCTTCTGTTTACTTATATTTTTCATTTCTTTCTTTCTCTATAGTCACCGTCCCACTTTATTCACTTTTTCTCTTACTAAAAACGTCAGTTCTTCTACATACTTTTATAACCTTCGTTTTCTCTTAATCTTTACTTTTGTTCACAGATCTTTAAAAAAAAAGTTTTTCCACATGGTATGTGCCCTATTGTGATAAAAATCTAACAGAAGCCAACTACGCCAGAGTCATCTTCGAAAAACAAGATTATTGCGAAAACCGCAACCACGAGCATAAACTTAACAACCGTTTGACTTACACATAAAATCGCTTTTCTTTCGATGACCGACAGAGCTGCGCAGATGTCCACAACCATTCCAACCCACCGAAACGACAACGATTCGGATCACGCACAACCCGAAGCGGATATCAGTCGCTTCAATCAACCTTCGAATAATCGATCTAAAGATGTGAATCCAGACCAGAATTCAGGCGATACTTCATCCACTCAACATCGTGATCAACGAGGAGAACGTCAGACTAAGCGTGATCGTCATGCTGACACACAAAATTCTGGTCAGCATGTGGATTCAGGCGACACTTCATCCACTCAACATCGTGATCAACGAGGAGAACGTCAGACTGATCGTGATCGTCACACTGACACACGATATTCTGGTCAGCATGTGGATTCAGGCGACACTTCATCCGCTCAACATCGTGATCAACGAGGAGAACGTCAAACTGAGCCTGATCGTCACACTGACACACGATATTCTGGTCAGCATGTGGATTCAGGCGACACTT